TTCCCTAGAGAGCTGTGAGGTCACGGCAAACACACTCATGATACTGAACTTGGAAAGTGACTAGTGTAAGATGATGGATACCTGGAAGAAAAAAACCAGACAAACATGGTTTTGTTTAAAAAGAGGCATTTCCACCAAATCAGTTTGTGAGTATCAGTGTTCTAGTCTGAGAATGCATGAGCATAAGGAACGTTACAAAAGTAACCCCTTGCTCCCCAGTTTCACGAGCCACAGAGGCAAATCCTAGAACTGAGACTCGTTGCCTCTCAAAGGGGGAAGGAACACCAGAGGTCAGCCTAGCTGGCCTCAGACACACTGCAGGAAGAGAGAAGGAAGGAGAGAGAAATCACTGAGACCTCCTTATCAATGGGCAGCCACTCTTCTAAATACTTTCACTTGACAAGTTCAGAAGGTTGCATGCCAGAAGGGCTTCTTGGAGAGGGTCTTCTGTATCAGAGTGATAGCCTAAGTGTATTGTGACAGCACTGTTGCTGGGCATCATGCATCTCCTTGTGAAATCACACGGTCTGCATGTGACCCGTCTCCATGAAATGTCATGCTCACAACAAAGAAAAAAAGAAACTTGAGGCCACGAATAATTTTTGGATTTAGGTAATGTTGGAATAGCAAATCTATTTACGGAATCAAACTTCTGGTTTCTAAAGGAAAAGAGATGATCACTTCTGCCTTAAAAGGCTCCGTTACCCCCCAAGAAAATGTCTTTTCATTATTTCCCTTCAATGGAAAAAGGTCAGGTTACAGAGTCAAGTTCCAATCTAATCATATGATGTCATAAGACAGCAATTCTGTTTAAACAATCTTTACAAAGCAATGCGAATATATGACGGGAAAAATGACAAAGTGAATTTTAGATAAGTACCTTCAATGAAGCATGTTCTAGTACAATTTACTTTGTGTGGAAGTTCAGGAGACCAAAGCCATTGATATGGTTGTTTGCATGCTATCCAAAATTATTATTTGGATTTTGTGTCAAGGCCTTGTGTTTCAGACTTGTTGGTTAATTACCTCTGGGGATTTTGTGCAGTTGGGATTGATAACAGCATCTAAAAGGAATTCTAGTGAAGGATAACAACAGAATTCTTTAAATAACCAACCAGGCAGCTAAATGGAGTTTGGCTAGACGAATAACAGAAAATTGTAGGACTTTTTAAAGGAGATTTCTGCAGTCACCTGATTCTGACACTCTTACCACACAGTAGTCATCAGCTTAGCTAACATGAAACACTGGAGTAATAAAGCCAAGTGACCAAATTTGTGATAAAAAAGATTCCAAAATATGCAGACCCAAGCTGTTATTCCAGGCACAAGAATGGTCATTCTCTGTTGCATGGTTAACATACTTGTGAGTTCTATCAGCTTCCCTGAGATAAGGTTAGAATGCCTGTCTTCTTGAATACAACGGAAAACTTGAGGGCAGAGGCTGTATCCCATTCATTTATCCTTGGAACCTAGTATGAAGCTTGGCACGTAGTACCTGCTCAATGAAATCAATGAACAAAGGAGTGCATTTCTGATATGATGCCATTCCATACTTATCCTCTTGTATTTTATTTTATAGTACTGTACAGAGAATTAAGCTGAAAGATGTTCAAAGGAATCTACATTTAAATTAACGATACCAACCTCCCTAAATGTCTCAATCTTCCTCAACTCTGTGGATGCATTCTAACCCCTAAAAGCACTTATTATCTCTTGCCTCTTGCCATCCATCTTCTGTCCTGAACTTCCACTCTCCTATAGCTACCTACTTTCCTTTCTCAGGGGTCTCCTTTGAAAATATTGAGGTTCTCTTCTTGACCATTTCTTTATGGATTGAGTGTGTTAGTCATACTGGCCAGGATTTGACTCATGAGAATTCTGGTCCTCCAAGTGGCGGATGAGACCGAGGGTCTGGGCATCCTCTAATGAGGAGAGCACATCCTTCCCAACCCCCGACTCCCTTCCCTAGGTCTTCAAGATGAAGGTCTCTGGACCCCTTCTTGTTCTTAATTTGTTTTCTATATAGTCATTTTTCTTCTCCAATGGATTGGATTGTGATCCAAAGGGAGACAAGGAGACTGTTTCAGCCCCATAAGCTTTGAACCTGCATATAGCCAGAGAAAAGGTGTTCCTCTGCTTGGTCCAGTCCAACTCTCTGGGAGACTGCATTAGGTTTGGGGCAAAATCCTCATGGAACTAAAATGATTTTGGTTGGACCATCCCCCTGCTCCACAAATGTTGCTCTCTGGAACTTGCGGTGGTGATATCAGGCAGCTCTCTGAGGAGTCAGGAATCTTGAGCCCCAGCCAGAGGCAACTTATCATGGCTAATAATTCATCATTCACCACCAGCACTAGAACAAATGTTTATTAAGCACCTACACCGTGTAATCCACAGTGGCATGAGGCTGGCAAGGAAAGGCACCGTGCTGGCCACACTGACAGACATACCAAGAACAATAAAAGGCTGCTATTTATTAGGTCTTTCTCTGTGCCTGGCTTTGAGTCCCATGCTTTATGCCCATTCTCTCATCCAGTTGTTCTCCCAACCCTATGATCAAGGTGCTATCATCATCTCCACTTTACAGATGAAGAGTCTGGTCAGAGGGCCAGGAAGAGGAAGATCTAAGATGGACACCAGCTGTGTTCAGTCGCAAAGCCCAGGCAGTCCCTTCAACACTGCATCCCCCAAGAGGGGGCCGCTGGATGGAGGGAGTCAGGTGGCAAAGACAGCACAGCTGGGAGAAGGAGGAGAAGTCATAGAGAACAGAACATTGTCTACGACGGAGGGAAAGAGGAAAAGAGGGAGTTGTGGCCACATGTGAGGTGGTAGAAGTTAGGGAATTTCATCCCCAATGTCCTCCATTTCCTCTGGGAAGTGAGAGGCAACGTCTTCTGGTGAGTAAGATGAGTGTAAGGACAGGGCAGGGGTGATGATGGTGATGATGAGAAAAATAATAACAATAATAGCGAATATGGAGTCCACCGTGTGTCTGACAATAATTTCTTTATGTGAGCGATTCTTTTTCATTCTCACAATTCCAAAAGCCAGGCACCATTTTGCATTCCAGGAAACCGAGGCTCCAACAGATGATATACTAGACCTACTGTGGAACACGTACCAAGTGATGGAACTGGGACTTTAACCCAGACAATCTGCCTCCAGAGCCCAAGCCACTGAAGGGAAAGTGAGAAGCTTCGTGGGGACACGTGGAAAGATGACTCCTAACTTATCTTTCACTTTAAAGATAAAAATTGGAAAAGCAGTGGTCTGAGAGGTGGTGTGGGGGTAACTTTTCTCGTAGCACACTTGAACTGAAAATGGGACAGCTAGGCCACCATGTCAAGGAGGTAGCTGAAACTGAAGTTCAAGAGAGAATTGAGTTGCAGAGTTTCCACAGGGATACCATGTCATATACGTATGATGCATTGTAGGTTCCAAAATTTTGACTTAGTGAGCGATACAATCCAACACATACGTAAATCCCAACCCTTACGAACATCACTAAAACATATCATTTCCCTCCATCAAATACAGTAAAATATAACATAAATTTTAAGCAACCTCTCTAGAATCTTATCCAGTCCATACAAGTAGGACCAGAGCCATCTCCATACTTACTAAAGCCAACGCTGCTTTGAATTTCAGTCATGCTGTAAACTTCAGGAGTGAAGTGGGCCTGCAGAACCACAGGGATGACAGCAAATATCGTGGGCTGGTCTGAGACGGTGTACGTCCTCACCTCAGGGCACGAGGGCACGAGGGCACGAGGGCACGAGGCAGCCCTCAGGGGAAATAGCCAGTGTTCAACCCTGAGAAGTGGATGGGGCGGGGGGCGCTGAGAGGGAGGATGGCAAGGGCCAGAGGCCTGGAGAGAAGGCCTTCTGCGGGGAGGAGATAAAAATGGGCTCCTGCTTTATTTCCTTGACTACTTGCTCTTCTTTACTTGGTATGGAGCCAGTGAGAGGTTAATTTCCCAATAGAAAGTTCTTCTTTCGGTGCTGAGTTATTGCAGATCACTCAAGTGTTGTATTAATTAAATTAATGAACACCCCCGGTAAGAATTGGTAAAACACTTTAACACGACCTTCACTTTTCTTTTTCTTCTTCCTCTTTTTTTTTTTAACTAGTATTACTGCTGTTTCGCAGACTGTTTCCGTGTATTCCTCCCCACCCCCTTCAGCCAGTGTCCCACAGCTCCCACCCAAGGCCATAGATCCCATGCTCTGCGCACATGTGGTACATGCTTTCCATGCTCCCAGGAAGGAAACTTCTGCAGGACCTCACGCCCTCTGCGGCGTGCTCAACAAGCACGTGGCTTTCGAGCCTTCTCCTCTGGCATGTCTTTACTCTTCCTGGTGCTGACTGTGTGGTGGTACTCCCATGTCAGCTGTTAATTGAATCTCTAAATTTCTACTTTTTTATTCCTAGGAAATCCCTCTGAAACTGCGAAGATTTTATTTTCACCTTCGTGACTGGAAAACACAATTTAAAATGTATTGCCCAGAGTCAGACACAATTTAGCCTAGGACTTCCTGCTGTTTCCAGTGTAACCCTGTGGCCGGAAAACCTTGATCCTTGCTCTGATTAGGCAATTTTCTTAACCCCTCAAAACCTTACTTTTGTCATCAATAAACAAGGGGAAATTGTGCTGGAAATAATAAGGCTTGGTTCTAATCACTGTTATTATGAATGTAGAGATCAATTCAGCTCCACCATTTGAAACTATTCTCCCCTTTTAAGTAAAATCTTGTTTTAAGATGTAGTATCTTCTCTATCTTTTATCATGTCCTAAGTTATGGATCAAATCCTTTTGAAAACTTAGAAATTATTTTAAATGTTTAAGTGAATACACAGTTAACTCTCATTTAATGAGAAGGTGTCATTCATTGCAATGGCCCATTTCGTTTATGCTGGTTAACATAGCCCTTAGAATATTCCACACAAGAGAGGCTCAAACCCTGAACTCCAACCAAGTCTCCATTTTGTATATGAAACAGGAAAAAAGTTAGTGAGATGTGCAGTCTGCACCCCCAGGAGAAATGCGGAGTGTCTGTCAGCCTGTCCTCTCGTGGCCGTGTGGGTGTGAATGATATGACCAGACTCAACAGAGGTAAGCTGAAGGAGTCAGGGTATGAGAAATCCACAGCCTTTACTGGATGGGCTTAGGAGTAATTCATTTGCGTGTCTTCTCTCCCTTCTTCTTTCTTTCCTTCCTCCCTTTTCCTCTTCCTTTTTCCTTCTCTTACCTCCTTCCTTCTATCTTCCCTCCCTTCCTTCCTAAATATATGCTTTGAGTGTTTTAGGTTGTTCAACTTTTAAAAATACATATATATTAAGGAAGGAAAACTTGCCTAGTACAGTACTCCCCATCCATTTCCATGTCATTGGACCGTCACAGACACCCTGTGGAGTAAGTAGGGCAGACAAAAATCATCCTTTCTTTTTTTTTAAAATTTTTTATTATGTTAGTCACCATACATTACATCATTAGATTTTTGATATAGTGTTCCACGATTCATTGTTTGTGTATAACACCCAGTGCTCCATGCAGAACGTGCCCTCTTTAATACCCATCACCAGGCTAACCCATCCTCCCATCCCCCAAAAATCATCCTCTTTCTATAAACGGGGAAACCAAGATGCCAAAAGATGAAATGACTCTTCCCAGATAAAATCCTTGTCAAAGACCTCTTACAATGATCATGAAAGTCAGGGGTGAGGGCTCATAGTTACACGAGGTCTAAACTAAGGTGAACAAGGAACTAGGCAGGGCTGGGGTTTTGGGTTTTTTTTGGTAAGTAAAAAAAAAAAACTGTGCTGGGCAGTATCAGAACAATAAATGTAGTAGATTGGTTAATGGTTTTAATAATTTCAGACCCTTGATATAGGTTTCAGTATTCTATAGAATGTTTGCTGACAATATTTTAACAACTGGAATCAATAATTCAGGCAAAACTAGGCACAATGACATCCAATCTCCCTTATATATATGACACCTGGCTTTCCTCTATATTAATCTACAAATATTTCTCACATAATGTATCTCATGTAAGCCCAAATATAAGATAGTCCCTCTGTTTTTCCAATGAAAGATGAAAAAAAATAGACTGAAGGGGGTGGTATCTTGAATACATATCTTTTAAGAATACGATGAAACAGTCAAACCCTAACTTGTTATTTCATTTAATAATTTTAATGTGCGTATGGTTAAATGTTATAGAAAATACATTGCGAGTTTAGAATTGTTTCCATTTTCATATTTTTCAAAATTGCATTCAAACTCTCCGCAGGAATCTTCAACATCAGTGTCATCACATGGGCCATTTTGGGAGTCATTTAACACAGCTCCGAAACCACCCCATGTCCCCTGAGACCCTGCAACATCAGCCTGCCACTAGAAAACTGATGCCAAATATGAATTTGGAGAACACTGGCTATTAGTCTTTTCAGGTTTCCTATGGTGTGTGTGTATGAGCTACCTAAGTAACCACTTATTTTATTGTTTTTTAAGCAGATCTTTAAAAGGTTTCTTTTTTTTTTTCCTTCTAGCATTCAATGGTTGCATTTGGGAAGCACACTTCTAGGAATAATGACAAAATTTGGGTTAAATTTCTTTGCCTCTTTTTTTTTAAATTAATTCAAATAGACTGCCCTCGATAAATACCCATCTGAGGTCATTACACTGTCCAAGCAGTATTTCATGGGTAAAAGAAAGTGACTGAGACAGCACTGTAGCATGAGGCTTTGTAAGGGCTCAGGGTTTCAGTCGCCTTTTCAGAGCGGCTGACATTTAGACCTCTGAATTGGGATTAGTTCAGAATGGACCATGTATGGGGAAAAACGTGGATAATGACAGTCATTCCAGAGAAGGCAGAAATGAGGATCTCAGATTGGAAACTAATTTTAGTTATCCTGCACATGCTCAAGCCCCTGTCACACTCCTCTGTATCTCTCCTCTCCCTGAATGGTTCGCTCATGTAGCAGGCAGTGCCTGATAGCATTTATGGGCATCTTCGAGATGCTCTTCCCACCATACTTTGCAAGAACTCAACATTGCCCTTTGGTACCAATGACTTACGAGAACGACTTGTAGCATTCCATTGCCCAAAGAGCATTGATAGATGTCAGAATTCTGAAATAGCTGCAGGAGCAGTTGCCAGCACAAATCTTGCGAGCAAAACTTAGAGAGTGGTGGATTACAATGTCAGAACTTCGGGAAAGTGTATTCATCACAAGATGGAGTCAAGTGGTTCACACATTGGTGTTTTATCAGTTGTTGACCGTTGTTAGTAAACGCAGAGGTATCCTACCGAGCAGATCGCCTCTGCCCAAAGACTGCCTGAATCATTGATGCAGTAGATTTTTTTTTTTTTTTTTAAGTAGGGGCTTGAACTCACAACCCTGAGATCAAGACAGGAGCTGAGATCAAGAGTTGGACGCTTAATGGACTGAGCCACCCAGGTGCCCTGATGCAGTAGAATTCTGACTAGAATGTATTAGTCAAGATGGGACCCACTCATAGTCCACATATCTCTTCTACTGATGTTTCATACTGCTAGTTAATTTCCATGAGCTTATATCTCATCCCTTAACTAGTTTATGGTTGGATCCTGGGACTGCCTGAGGCCTGTTGGAAAGAGAAGAGCTTACTATGGAAACACGATTCTGGTCCAACAGGTTGAAGATTCCTGGTAGCGATCAGAGATTACTCACTAAAGGGGAATTGAGTGGAGTGTTTTGCAGAACTTCTGGAAACAAAATCAGATGGAGATGGTGCCCACTGGGAGATGTTACAGTGTGAGGGGACAATGATCTGTACCTTTTGGAATATAAAAGAAAGATAAGGAAGGGTTTTCATACTTGGGTATTTTTTATTAACATTCGTCATTCCTTTCTCCACCCTCCGATTTTACTAAGCACGCTCTATACAGCAGACACTTGGATAAGAATTTCTCTATTACTTAGCCATTACTTTGTCTCCAATTCCTTTAATGTTTTCTTTAGTACAATATTTAAGAGCATAGTCTTTTTGGGTCACACAGAGTTTTTTGTGTATCATGCAATAAGACCTTATTGACCCTATGAACTTGAGCTGATTACCGAATCTTTCTGAGACTGTTTTCTCATCTATAAAATGGAGGTCAAGGGGCGCCTGGTCTGCTCAGTCAGTGGAGGGTGCAACTCTTGATCTTGGGGTTGTGAGTTCAAGCCCCATGTTGGGTGTAGAGATTACTTAAAAATAAAATCTTTAAAATAAATAAATAAATAATTAATTAATTAAATGGAGATCAAAATACTCCTTGTCTCGTGGGGTTGTTGTAAGACTAAACGAGATTATGTCTATAAAATAGTTTAAGCTCAATGTGGGAAAATAGTAAGCACTTGCTATCACTATTTACTGCAAGTTTTTCATTTTTCTATTAGATTGAGCCATTTGAAACTGCCATTTTTGTATGTCAAAAACTGTAGAATTTTGGTGACTTTATATGGTTCAACTTCATGTTTGTTGTGTTACCTAGAAGGACTTAACGTTGGTTGTCATTACAGTTGAGGAGACTGATCTCCTAAATAGTGTAAATTAGGAAAGGAATATGTTATCCAAAGACTGGAGGTCTTTTATAAGTTTGTTTCAAATTGTAAGTTTATTTCATTCAGGATTACATTTCTTTGTATAACTGAGCACTTAACTCAGGGCTCTCTACATAGGAAATGATTAATAAATATTAGAGTAATGAATTCATACATATGAAATACCTGAACTTTAGGAAACAGGCAACTACTTTTTAAAAAAGCACCCACTGAGTGGCTCAGTGGGTTAAGCATCCGACTCTTGATTTCAGCTTAGGTCGTGATCTGAGGGTTGTGAGATCAAGCCCCTGTTAAGATTTTCTCTCCCTCTGCCCCTCCCTGCCCCTCACCTGCTCTCTCTAAATAAATAAATATTTAAAAACTTAAAAAAAAAATCGCCCTATTTCCTTGGTTATAAAACTCCATTTCTAATACCTAAGATCCAGGTGACACATCATTTCAAAAACATGAATAAAGCGAATATTTCTGATGTGAGTTGACCCAGTTGAGTTTTGGGAATTAGATCTATCATATAGAAACCATTTGACTTCAATCCAGTGATTCCTGATGAAAAATAAGGCTGTGCAAGCCACAGCATGGAAATGGGTGTTACGTCAAGGGTGAAGGTTGCAGTCATATCTCAGTTCTTCTCCAAAAAAAGAAAGAAAGAAAGAAAGAAAGAAAGAAAGAAAGAAAGAAAGAAAGAAAGAAAGAAAGAAAGAAAGAAAAGAAAAGAAAAGGAAAGAAAAGAAAAGAGATCCCAGATCAGAAATAAAAGAAGCTAGAAGTTATAAGGCTCTGTTTCCAGCCAGGGATGAGAGAACCATACAAAATCAAAAGAAGCTTAGGTTCTTCACTCCTCAACCCACATGCTAAGCAGCTTTACTGTCAAGTCTAAAACCACCCATAGTAAGAAATGCGACTTTGGTTCGTGGTTTTGGTCCAGAGGAAACAGTTAAGTTATGAATGGTTGCTTTGAAACTTGGTCACTGGATGACCCTCATTGAGTTCCAATGAAAGGTGAATTTAATATATAAATTTGAATTTAGAATATAAATTAGGAGGGTGTTTGCAAACCTATAGAGACAGAAAGTAGATTAGTGGTTACAAGGGGATGGGTGGAGGTGAGGACAGCTAAAGGATGTGAGGTTGTTTTTTGTGGTGTTGGAAATGTTCTAAAGTTGCACAGCTTTATGACTTTCCTAAAAAGCACCAGATTATACATTTTAAATGGCTGAGTGATGTTGTATGTGAATTATATCTCAATGAAACTCTTTCAAAAAGCAAAAGAAAAAGTGAAAGAGAAATTTCTTTTACAAACCTTTACCCCTACCATGAAGATATATAACCTTGGTAAGCATTTTGGTGTGTAAGTCTTCTGGACTTTTTTCCATGCTATAAGACCTGTTTAGTAACCTGTCTTTTTAAACGTAACAATGTAATATGCATATTTTTATGCCAATGTACATCATCTTCATTAAATGGCTGCGTGAGACTCCATTTATTTACATATACCTACATTTGCTTAGCCAATATCTTATGATTAAATATTTAGATTGTTTCTTCTTTACCATTTACATACTTCTTTGCACCTAAAAAAATTAACAAGGAGAATCTCTGATAAACAGACTGACGAACCCATAACACATCAGTGGCACAAGCAGAAGAGTTGACTTTTTTTCTTGCTTTTAATGCAGCTCACACGTATAAACACGGTCTCTATGATACATAAACACTTAACTGTGCACCGGGCACAGTGCTTTGTGCTGCAGATGCTACAAATCACACTAATTATCTGTCCTCAGTTCAGCCTCGAATTACCACTTCATGGGCAATATTTCTAATTCCTTTTAGGTAATAATTCAAGATAATAGCATATCTTATACCAGACAGTAGTTCATTTCCTACGGCATATTTTGCTATCATAGCCTACACCATAGAATCCAAGAATGTTATGCCCACAGATCATCTACGGAAACCCTACATCATTATATTGTAGATGCCCCCGCACCTGCCCAGCTCTAGACCCCCTTTCCCCATCAACTGGTGGTGTGAGAGTAGAAGCTGGATCTGAAATAAAATTCTCTTTTTTCCACTGCTAATTACAGTGAGAAATCGGGAGAACGCTATTGCTTTCGGCTAACGCAATTAACACTTAGATGTGAATGATAATAGGTTTAATCTTCCAGGAGCATGAGTATTTTAAAAGAGAAGTCACCAATAGTAATACTTTCGGCATACTTATAGCCCTTGGCCATTTACAAAGCACTTTCATACTGAACCGCATAATAGTAGGATATCTATTGTACAGATGGACAGATCCAAGACTCAGAGGCAGGTCTTCCTTTGTCGGGACAGAAATGGTAGATGGCAAAACTGAAGCAGACACCAGATCTTCCCTCACTTAACCCAAAGCTCTTTCCACTCACAAATTATCCAAATGAATCGGTGGGATGCCTGTCTGGGTATTTTTGAGCAATCTACACTTTCCCCTCCTCCAGCAAGAATAGGAGTCAACCACCTGGCTCTTTACTTCTGAAAATGTGCTCCCCCGACCCCACAGCTAACCGGAGAAATCTGGGTCCTTTGACAGCTGTCTTAACAGACTTAGATGATAGACGATTTCGGCATCTCCGCAGGGCCAGTGCTCTTTACAAAGTTCACCAATGAGCACGAGACACATGCTAGCTGTGCTTATTTACAACTCAGTTTTAGTGGAGGCCAGGTTGAAATATTCGAGGGAAACGGATATGAAATGTTTCAAAAAAAAAAAAAAAAAAAGATGGATTTTGTATTTCTTCAAAACAATTATGCCCAGGGAAGCAAGAGCTCCTCCTAATCCTCTCTGCATTCTTCCCCACGACCCCGGCCGCCACTTGCTGCCCGCCTGAGGATCACGCCCTTTCCGTCACGGGGAGCCATCCGCCCTGACACGTCCTGGGCTCTGTTTCTCCTCCCAGCCTTTCAGCACCAAGTATTGGACACACATTCCTTGAGAGGCTGCGGGAGGCGGCCCCCGTGCGACAAGCAGCTGCGCAGTGCGGATGTACAGCCCAGTCCAGCACGAGTGGCAGGACGGGTTATCACAGATCAAATTCCTGCAGCAGTCACTTCCTCTCCTTATCGGGGAATCGGGGCTTTTTATGAGGGATGGGCTGGACGGACGCCCTTGCTGTGCACTAGCACTCCTAAGAAGCGTGACTTCCCAGCAACGCGATCTGGGAGGGAGCGCTCGGCGGGGCGAGCAGTGGATGCTTCCAAAGAGGGAGACCCGGCCAGCCTGGGGCCTTTCGCCTGGGCGCTCACTCACCCACAAAGGCCGACGGGACGCCTCCATTTGCCGGACCCGGCTGGGCACAGTGAAGATGACAGTGAGGCTTGGTCCTTGCCCCTGAGGAGGGTGGGTGGACAGTGTGATAAATATATTGTGTGCAGGAATCCTGGGCTGCCTCACTGTAAGGGGATCTAGAGATGATCAGGTGTTTCTCACAAGACTGACACTCAGCAGTTCACAGTCTGTCTCCCCGCCTCCCTGAATGGGCTGTGCAATCAGGATTAGAACCCAGAGCCCAATCCCGCTAAGCACACTTCCCACCCACTGCACAGACATCCCTCCCCACCAAGTCGGAAGGACAAATCACAGAGACATCCTCACAGGGTCTTTTTTTTTTTTTTAAGATTTTATTTATTTATTTGAGAGAGAGAGAATGAGAGAGAGCAAGTACATGAGACGGGGGAGGGTCAGAGGGAGAAGCAGACTCCCTGCCGAGCAGGGAGCCCGATGCGGGACTCGATCCAGGGACTCCAGGATCATGACCTGAGCCGAAGGCAGTCGCTTAACCAACTGAGCCACCCAGGCGCCCCCCTCACAGGGTCTTTATTCACAAATTGCTTTTACCATTTCTTGTTTAGGTCATCACAGCTTGTTGAGGCTGTCTTTGAACAAAGATGATCTCCTTGGGAACAGTTTTTTGGTGTAAAATTATCAGGGTGTCATTCCCAGATTGATTCCCTTCAACTCTAAGCCAGTCCAAGTACTCACCATTACAAATATTCAAATAATACAGTGTTAAGGTGGAAGAGCCCTCCTCTCCTTTATCTTGCAAAAAAATAAGTGCTATTTCTAATGTCTTTCCTTCCTTTCCTGAACAATTTCTTCCTAAATCCATTAGGTAGGGTCCAGCGAAGCAGGTGTCCACACCAGGGAGGATGGAGAGAGGAGGGAAGCGTGGTAGCCCAGAGCAGGGAGTCTGGGTCTGAGTGGGGCTAAGGGGGCATCCCACCAGGAAAGGGGTGCTGGTGGCTATGGGGAAACTGGTTACTACAGGATGACTGAGCAAGTAAGTAACTATATTAAGGACAACAGGAGTCAGGTCCCTCACTGTCAGAGAAGGGAGTTACAAATATGGAAAGTAAAAAGCTATTAAAATGAACTCTGTGGTATTAAATTTAAAATGGAGGTATTGTTATGAACTATGTTTTTTTTTCCCAATAGGTGTAGATACAGATAAGAATGACATAGGATTGATATGGATGATTAATAAATTATCAATATTTACAGAACCAAAATGTGACACATTTACATCTATCTATGTCTCCATCTATTCCTACATATGTATGAATATTTCTAAGTTTGTATAGACATACATATACTCCCTACTCTGACCACTCAGAAGACTGAAATAGCAATGAGCACATCTAGAGCTCAGAGCCAGTCTTCGGAATACCATCTTCCAGTAAAAGGACCCAGTGTTCCTTGAAGAAATGCTCAAGAATGAACCTGCTCAAAAGACAATAAACAAATGCTCAAGGAAATGGAAACCAGTGAGTGGCACTCCCTCTGGCCAAATTGGGGAGAATTTGAGCATCCAATAAGTCATGATTATGATGGATTACAACCCATTGAATAAAATAGGAAACAGAGAGTCCATACAATAGAAACAAACAAACGAATGAGTGAATAGAATATTCAATGAGAAGTGGAATATTTACATAGTTCCCAAGTGTTTCTCAACAGTATTCTCATTAAGTATAAAGGGAAACAGAGTAACTACAGGGGAAGAGCTTGGCAGAGGCCCCCTTAATCCGAGATCACAGTGAGCATGGTGAGCACAGAATCAAGTGCCACCAGATGGGATGCAATGAGGAGAATACAGCATCACTTCGGTGATGCTCCTACCAGTGATGTATACCCTGGATCTAACCATAAGGAAACATCAAATAAATGTAAATTGAGAGATGCTCTACCATATAACTGATCTATAACATTCAAACATGTCAAAGTCATTGAAGTGAAGGAAAGACTGAGGAATTGTTCCAAATGACAAAAAACTCCAAGATGCATGACAACTAAATGTAATTTTCTATAAAGAACCTAAATGAGACAGGTGGCAAAAGGCGATTGAGGGCTGGGGGTTAGATGGTAACAATGTACCAATGTTCATTTCCTGATTTTGATGGTTGTATTGTGTTTATGTAAAAAAATATCCTGGTTTGTAGGAAATGCAAATAAGGTTTCGCTGCTAATGGGCATCAGAGTGGCGATTTATACTCAAATCGGTCAGGAAAATAAAGCTCGTTTTTCTCTGCTTTCAACTTTTGTATAACTTTTAATTGCATCAAGATAAAAATATAACGTGGAATTGGTACTCATCTGTGAACAACATGAAGGAAGCATTCTGCACTGCCTGTTTTTTTCTTATTTACATTGTCATGTGAACACCATTATTCCCACCAGATGAGACCATCAAAATGGGATGTTAACTTATTTGATCAATCTTGTGGTATTACGTTGAACAATAAAAGCCCCTAAGTGGTGAGTATTACAGCATTTATCTTTTTAACAAAGATGTGAGAGGGAAGAACATTGTAGTTGGCCAGCCACTATTTGCTTTTTAAAATTAGACATCTCAACCAAAGCTAACTGGCTCTGGTTCTCAGGTGTTGTCTCACTACGGGTGAATAAATCTGAATAGACCTCTTTCTTAGTCAGGAGGTAAAGATCAGCATGGGAACAGGATGGAGCTCTGTTGGCTCCCTGAGAATCTTTTTCTCTATGGCAGATGGCAGTGAAAATCTGTGCTCTGTGTGTGTGCGCGTGCACACTTAGCATCGTGGTAGTGGGGTTGGGGGGAGGCCCCGCAATGGCCTGCATTTGATCATGCCTTCTAGCTCTGACATTCTGACATTCTCAAATCTCTTTTTGGTTGTGTAGGATCTGAATTCCCACATGCAAGGTACAGAGCAGCTCCCAGACTCAATTTCTGAGTTTTATAATACAGTATTGTAATTTTATGACACTAAATTTTATAATACAACTGTATAGAATGGGTCATAGGATCAATTATGGAATCAGATTTCAAGCAAGCTATGAAAATTCTCTGAGTCTCAGTTTCCTCATCCTTAAATTAATAATAATAAGACTCACTTCACATAGCTGGCATAAGAATTAAACAAGATAATATATGGCAAGAAGTTAGCATAGGGTTGAACCCATAGGAATCATGCAATGAACTGTCACAGTTATTATTTGGTTTGAAAGCAGGCACAGAAACAATAGGTGTGTGACCTTCAACGAGTCACATGACCTCTCTAGTTCTCATTTTTTGAAATGAAACATATATTTAATGCTAGTGAAAGCTATTATTGTCTCCCAGTGGAACAACCTACACCAATAGCTTTGGTAGCTTGGGGTGGAGGGTGTCATGGAGTGGTCTATTTCCACCACCCTTCAGTCTTCCTGAGTTAGTTCCTTGGAGGGAGGGAAGTGTTATTGCTGAGTGAGGTAGATGACATGAATGGATTTTCTAACTGAATGGACCTGAGCCAAGAGGTGTAGACCAGAGGTGCATTCCAGGATGTCTTCAACCACAGACTGAGTCCCTATTTTGAGTCATTGAGGCAGTTTGCTGAGGGATGTCATGGAAAGTCAGACAAACAATGACTTCTGAGTTTTCACGCATCATAAGCAGAAGCCCTATGATCCCCTGCATGGGCAGGTCCTTCTCTCCTGCAGTCAGGATAGTAACAGCTTCCTCAAATCATCTTTGGCTTGCCAGGCTGTGCCCTCTAGTGTTTCTGGATGGCCCACAGATCCCCCAGGAACAGCTTTGGGGACGTCACTGAAACTATATGATAAGATGAGGGACTAGAGTGGGACCACATAAATGCTGTATATTGGAGTCTCAGGGGGCAAATATACAATACCACTGTTTCCTAGTTCAGATTTGAGAGCTAGACACAGGACCACATACATAGAGGTTAAATTATCATCTTTTCATTAATAAAAGCTGGGCTGGTTTAGGTGTTTTCCCACAAGACTTCTTAATATTTTGCCAGCCAACTCACTGGCACCACTGGACACCACAGGACCACAGGCCAACTCCACAGGGCCTGTCCCTGGGAGTCACCACACAGCTGCATGCAGATGCCAATTCCCTATAGACAGACAGATCCTGACAGGAGCCTGGAAAGAGCCAGCCCCTCTCCCCCATAACCAATCAGATGAGGCGTATCTCCTCCTCCAGGAAGGAGGCTGGTGGGTCTCTACTACGTTGTTTCACTCCCACAGAATGGAAGAAACGGCCTCCCCTCTCTGCGACCATGAGGAAGGGAGTTAGTCCTTCTGCCTACCACCATGCTGCAGGAATAAACCACCCCAAAACCTTACAACAAAAGTGTATTTCTTGCTCATAATACACAACGTCTGTTATATGTCGGCTGCACATCTGCTTGTTATCGTCATTCTGGGACTCAGAGGGACAGAGTGGCCTCTATTTGGAATGTCACTGCTGCTTATGGCAGAAGGAAAGGGAATGTACTAGAACAAATGCTGGCTCCTAGTACTACCACCTAGGAGGAACACGTCCTCTTCCCATTCACATACACTGGCCAAAACAAGTAAGCTGGGCAAGTGTGACATCAACGGGGCAAGGAGAGAGAATGCTTCCTTCCGTCCCAGGGAAGGGCAGCCGACATTTGGAACAATAATA